ACGACACGGTACAGATTGCCGTGACATGGTACTAGCTGCCGTGCCACGTCAGATATTGTCGCAACGCGGCAATTTCGCTGTTGCGCAGCAAATCAAGTTTTTTACGTTTTAAAAGTATGATAACTTTTGATCCGTAACTCGGAATAAGGCATATAATATATCATTGGAAATCTTATCAAGTCAAAATCGTGAATAATAAGGCATAGAATCAGGTAAAATCGTGAATAATAAGGCGTAAAATAAGGCATAGAATCAGGTCAAAATCGTTTGTATATTTTAAGATATGATCGTTTTAGTGAAAGTGTGTTGGTTTTGGACCGAGTTTAGTGTTTGGCTCATATCTTCTTCGTTTTAAATCGGAATTGGGCTTATGATATTGTAACACCCTGTATTTTTCAAACCATTATTTAATATGTGTGTTTCAACCTATAAAGCCTAATTTCTAATTTAAATCTCAATTTCTAAATTTAAAATGTTAATTTAATTATTAAGATCGTGATTTGATTTGAGGGTCATCCCAAGCATTTGAAATCCTTATTAAAATGTTTTAACGAAACGTTTGAAAGTTTTTTTTTAAAAGGTTTTATGTTTAAGTTTTAACCATTTCAACAGTATTGAATTTGTTTGAATTGATATTAGCCTTAAAGAGTGAGTCCTTAAGCTTAAGCATTAATTCAGTAAGTGTTACTAAATTATATATATAATTTTGATATTTAACTCATTGCGATTGATACGGGTCATCATGGGTGATTCCTTGACTGAAGTACCAATCTAATAGGTATAAAAATGATTTTTGGAGTTTTAAAAAGTTTTACTTGCTATCGTATCAATATCGATAAATAAAGTTGTATTGGGTGATTCCGTCAACTCGTTTATCAAATTGGTATTGTTTATAATGTGTTCTTTAATTCTTTTATTCATAAAACTCATTATAATGTCCTTCTATTAATTATGTCATTTTAATGAATAATATTACTAGTTTCGCTTTTCGTCTTTTATATCGCTTTTCGGTATATATGAACTTTATATATAATTCTGTATTGTAATTTAAATTATTATTTTCATTATTATTATTGATATTATTTTTGAGATATCAATAATACAATCTATATTATCGTTTTTGAACGCGTTTTAAAATGCCTCCCGTTATATTCCATTCCTAGTCTAGTTTTGGGCCAACTAGCATTTATCTATGGGTCAGGTTTTTCTCAAAGTTCTCATGACTAAATAGATTAATATAGACTTGTTTATTAGCTTTCCTAATCCCGTTCTTAAGCCTAAATTAATCATTCAATCAAGCCCATAAGTGTAGCTTAATTTAGGGTTTATATGGAGCTCATTTAAAGCCCAATTTCTCTTTTCTCTCACGGCAGCCTTACGGCTGATTATTGATCAGTTTTTAAGGCCTAAACTCCCTAATTACTCATGTAATAAAACCCCCTTTACTCCTCTTAAGTAGTTGTCCAAGACCCTTCTTCTTCCTCTCTTTTGAACGTACAAAACAAGATGATGAGCTTTCTTTTCCCTGCTTACATCTCATCTGTTTCTCTCCTTCTTTCCCTCAAAATTTTGGTGTGATCTCAAGGCTCAAACATGGGGATTTTTGTGGTTAATTTTCTGCTGCTTTTCCTCTCAAATTCGAGCACTCAATTGTACTAAAGAACATCAAGACAAAGGGGTGAATGGAGCTTTGTTTGGGTTTTTTGGTGGGCAATCCTTGCTGCAGTTTAATCTGATTTGATGGCCTTCATATTAGAGGTAACTAGCACTTTACAAGCTTTAGAAATCATGGCTAGGGTAGGTTAAGGCTAGGTGCAAATTAGAGTTGGTTAGATTAGAAATTCATTGTAATTCAAGGTGCTAGAGTTTCATGTTTATTTGCTGTTTTGTGCGTGAGAAATGAGGGTATCTTATTCATGTTTTATTGCTGGTTTTTATGCTAGATAATCATACCTAGAAGTAGTATATATATTAAGTTTTGGTTCCATAAATTGTTGTTATGTTTTGGTGGTTTTTAAACATGATATATACACTATGGCTCATAATATTACTGCTATAATTGTTGACCTTGTGCAGTACGTTTTCAGCCTTATTTCCCTTTGATTTAGTTTGTTTTTGTTCCTAATATGGTATAGCATCATGTAAGGTATATCCCCCAAATTAGGCCCGTTTATGAGATTTAGGTGGCCTAGGGGCGAATTAAAAATTGGGGCCCTAATTGATTAATGATTGACTTTATTAACGGAAAAAATTGGGTATACAAAAATAAAAAAAAATTACGAAATACTTTAGGGCCTGTTCTCTTCCGTTGAAATTCAGTTCAGTTCAATTCAGCTCTTAATTTACGTCTAATGATATTGCTAATGATATAAAGCCAAATTTCATTCTTTTAAGCTCTTATTACAACGACAACAATAATAATAATAATAATAATAATAATAATAATAATAATATTAACAATAATAATAATAATAATAATAATCAATAAGTAATAAATAATAATAATAATAATAATAATAATAATCATCATCATCATCAATAAATAATAATAATAATAATAATAATAATAATAATAATAATAATTGAAATAATAATACTAATAAAAATAATCAATATATAATAATAATCATCATCAATAAATAATAATAATAATAATAATAATAATAATAATTATCAATAAATAATAATAATAATAATCATCAATAATTAATATTATTATTATTATTATTATTATTAATATGTACATTTGTATATACACATATGTATAGTAATAAATAATCAATAAATAATCAAAGATCACTAATTAATACAGTACTATAAGTATCAATATTTGGGTTTCGGATTTTGGGGCCCTAGGCGGGCGCCCCGGCTGCCCTGGGCCAAATACGGCCCTGCCCCAAATTAAATTATCATGTTTTTGGGTAAGTTTTGTTGTGATTATATGCCTAAAACTAAGCAAAGGTGCTATTGCAGATCAGTTTGTGAACTGTGTGAATCGAGTAGTTTTTAAGTGATGAAATGCTTAATTTTTGTGCTTAATCTTGTGCCTAACCTGACCTATTATGTATTTAGAGTGTGTATGGTAATGGGCTAAGGTTAATTGTGAGTTTAAGGTTGGTTTTGTGTGAATTTGTTGTGCAATATGCTGCTGAAATTCTTGTTAGGGGCTGCTGCATTTTTATGTTGTTTTTACCATGTTAAAGTCATGAATTTAAGCTTATCTTGTATGTATATATTGCTTAATATGTGGATTAATATGTCATAGTTTTATTTTATCATTTTAGCATTATTTGAGTGTGTTTATGAAGTGTAGCAAAGTGGTATGGTTGCTGCCATTTTTGGTTATTAAATAAGTTGTTGACGTCGTTGTGCTTTAAAGTAGAATAACACTGTTTTTAGCACCGCTTCGCCAAGGGTTGTGTACGGAGTGTATTGTGATATTTTATTATAATTAGCTTCGTACCCAAATCCAGACAATAAGAGTGACACCTTGTTATGATATATGAGCTATTTTGTATATTTTTGATAAATTTTGCAGTTAAACTCTTTTGAAGGATTTTTGTTGAAATTTGGTCTTAGAAGTAAAGACCTGCAGTATTTTCAATCAGGGTTGATGATCCCTAAATGTGTTTGGATGATTTTAAAGAAGTATTTTTAATGTTTTATATGATTCGTAAGACAACCATTGGGCTGCAGAATCGAATGGTTAGAACATGCCAACATCTTGGGCTGCGGAATTCGAGATGTAATTTCCTAGGTTAATTGTTGTCGTCCGGAACTACTCGGGCTGCTGAATTAGTGTAGGAAAACTGGGAGTTTGGTCATTCTTAGATGCAGACAGCTGCGAAATCGTCTGTAGGTTCGCCCTGACAAATCTTTGGTGGTGGGCTGCGGGATTCACCGGCGTTCATATTTTATATGCTTGCCTCACTATGGATCAGTTTTCGAAAAGTTAAAATTCTCTAATTTAATATAATTACACTTTTGAGAAAGTCTTCTTAAGTCAAGTCATGAATTTTTTTCTTAATATTTTTAAAGAATTTGTAAAAGGTGTTAATTATTATTTTTATGAGTTTATTGTTGTGTTTTGTGTGCTATTCTGTAATCATGTGGTAATATATTTTACTTTGTTCAATATACATGTTCGTTGAGTTTTGTATTGTAATCATGTTGCATGTTTTGACAAGTGTAGGCGTCGCTCAAAGTGCGCCTACGTTAAAGCATGTGGTGAATATGCTTGGCACTCATAGGAAGTGAGAATTGACATGTACGATTAGGGACAACGATTAGGGACAAGAAAAGTAGGGAGCCGCCAACAAGTTTTTAAGGAACTTGTAAACCGTTCACGGATTATAAAAGACAACCATGATTAAGGGACAACGACAGGCAACGACGATTGACCCGTGAAGGTTACACCCCATTCATAATCCATGAGATTGCTAACTCCATATGGTTCGGAACCACGAAAGGAGGATCGGGGATGATGGTACGACGTGAGTCATGGAGTCACATTCGCCCGTATTGGCCTCTACTCGATTCTTATAGTGAAAAGCATACCTGTGATCTCAAAGGCATGCAAACAAAATACTCAATTCGCTCCAAACTATTATTAAGCTAAATTGGTTTAATATTAATGCAACATATTATTCTAAAATCACTAGTGCAAAATTAATCTTAAGTAACACCCAAAAAGTGTTACATAAAGTGGTAAAAGGGTTATTATAGACAATAAATAACACTTTATTGGTTGATACTTCCGCCCATGTTCCCTAAGGTTTTATGTAACACTTTAGGTAATGTATGGTAACACTTTTAAAAATGTTACTATAAACCCTCTTAGGTAACACTTTTTATATTATTGGTATCATTTTTAAAGTGATACTTTTTATTTCTTAGGTAACACTTATTAATCTTTAGTAACACTTTTTAATCATATAATAACTCTTTATCGGACATTATGTATCCACTTTTTCGAACTAATGTAGCACCTTATAAAATATTATTACAAGTAGAAAAGGTGCAATTAATGGGCATGGATGCCCAGCCTAACATCAAGGGCATTGAATTTTCCCTTGATTCGGTGCTCTTCATGCCAAAAAAAAAGTAGAATTGATAAACAAACCATTAAATGAAATATATACATATATATAATTAGATTTATTTTTTAATTAATAAATGCTTGTTAAATTACAATTTAAAAAAAAAAAAAAAAATAAAAACAATTACAATGCTAAAGGCTAAGTAGCAGTAAAGCACAACATAAACAGTAGTGCTGAAACACGATCATTCACAACCTCCTTCCTCTGCTGCCTCTTTTTCTACGAGTACTGGCTGCTGAAATGTGACATCCTCTGGAATGTAAACACAAGTGCATTAGTACAAGGTTTATCAAATAAAATGGAGATTTTAAGCACACTTAAACAGAAAGTTCATTAATAATTAACTACAATCCCCGTTCTAAGAAACCTATCAATCATTTTGGCACTGAAAAGTACATACGAATTGAAGACCAGTCTTAAGCAATCATAATACATGAGAGATTTTAAGCCTAATGCTTAGAAAAAATTCACCTGCTTCAAAGGTTGTACCATGGTCGCCCGACACTGCATAAATGGACATATCCATCTAAGAACTAATAGCAGAATCAACACTCAACAGTGTTGACATCTCGTATATAATATCATTGAACTTTATCAATAGAATTTTGCCTACGCCATGGTACATTTTGATCTGGAATAATCAACAAAAGAATAAATCAGGTAAATTTGTATAGATAACACACAGAATTTAGTAGACAAGTGAACTGTCCAGCACCTTCAGCAAGTTATCACGTTTCAAGCCAAAGTTTTAAAATGGGCCCACTTAAGGTGAATTATATTACTTAGAACTTTAGAAGTAAAACAAAACCTTGATTAATTCCATAATTATTTCTCCAAAAGGTTATTAGTTACATCCAATACTTGATAACAAATGTCATACAGTTAGAGTGGAGGTATCTGTATCCAACAACAAGATAATGCTAGGAATACTAACCTTGTCTATCATGCTTAACTATACTATATTGTTCTGCAATATACTAGCTTAATAGACTGTATACTTTCAGAAAGTTTGAGGTCTCCTGGATCCTCTTTATTTACAACTTGGTTTAAGATTGAACAGTTGACTTCTAAAGCAATCATTAGAACTAGATCAGACAAGGATTTTAGTCATTTATTGTAGTTCACTAAGATAACTAGTAGTCTAGTATGTATTGATATCAATAAACAAGTTATCAAAGATCAATGATAGTTTACTTGGTCAATAGTAATTAAATACTCAATAAAGCAAATTGCACATTCTTGTATGTATGACTTGTAAATTTTTAATTAGAATATAATTTTATGTATTTGACGCTAGTTGGTTAATACTTTCTCCGTTTCTATTTAGTTGACGCGTTTGATTTAGGCACATATATTAAGGAGAGGAGAGAGTGTGAGAGAGAATGAAAAAGCAAGTGGGGTAACTTGTAAATGCAAGGTAAAAAATTTACCCCAAAAGAAAACGTGTCAACTAAAAAAAAAACTTCCTAAAAAGGAATATGAGTCAACTAAAAAATAACGAAGGTAGTAAGTAAGTTCCTCCTCAATTAAGATATCATGATATGAAGAAAAATGAGCATTGATGGGCAAATATTTTATTAGCATATAAGGGTATATCTTGATATAACATATACTACCTCTGTTTTTTATTAGTTGACACGTTTTGACTTTATCACTATTCACACACCTCTCTTTGACTATGTTTTGTGATTTATATGTGTAGAAAAATATAGTCAACTGTGAGCTTGTTAGATTCGTCACAATGTATAGTTTAAAAATATCAACTTTTAATATTTTTTGCTTATTGTCAATTAAAGATATTAATTTGCATTGACAAACAACTACTAAAGAAACATGTCAACTTAAAAGAAACGGAGGAAGTATAAATCTTGTTATCTCTCCTCTTCTTTCTTCTGTAAGACAGTTTAATATTCATTCAAGATATAGCCTTTATGCAAATGCTACCCTTCTAAATGCAAGCAGAATTCTCATATATTCCTACCATTAAACTGAGGCAATTCCTTCAAGATAAAAGATCATTTTTTATAAAGCTATAGCAGACTATACAAATATTCTAATTGTATCAGATTAGTCAACAAATTTTTAATTACAAGGTAAATCAAATAACAATAATCGAAAAGAACAAAAATTTAAAAAAATTCAAACACATTTAAATACTTCAAACAATTCAGATGCATGCAAATTTCAGTATGAAATTAGTGAAATTGAAAATGTTAATAGGCAAATTCAACATCAAATTAACAAATTACAGAGTATCAACAAGATCAGAGAAAGGGAGTTGAAACCTTAACTTTGCAATCATGGAAATGACTAATTTATCAATCATATAGCCATTTCCTCATGTAAGAATAAGATAGACAGCAGCGTAGACAACTAAGCATCTCAAAACAAGTAGAATTCACAAAACTTCAATACTATTAACTATTAAAAAAAGGTCCATATAAACCCTTATAAAACTAATTGGAAATTACTTGAATCATAATCCTAGTAATAATAATCAATTATCAATAATCATAAGTTTGACAATAAAAATTAAATACCTAAATACTAATTTAACAAATATCGATTAAAACTGCAAAATGAGAAGAGAGATACAAACCCCTAAAATTCATTGAAACTCTTAATCAATCACCAGTTGCATTACCAGACTTCTGGTAAACATAGGTAAGATCACACTTAAGATCTAAACCTTTATTTGACAAAACCTAATATTTTAACTAGTAGTTATGCAAAAGAGCCAAAAATTTGGAATTTCAAAGGGAAAGTTTGAAGAAACTCATACCATGACAAGCAATCAAAACCCTAGAATTCAAAGCACCGTCGTTATCGCTTGCGACCACCTTCACCATCGTCACCACCATCGCCGCCACTTGTGAGTGAGGAGGGTGTAGAAAGAGAGAGAGGACGAGAGAGTTGTCGGGTCTGCGGTGGAGTTAAGAGAGATAGGGAGAGGAGAATGAGAGAGAAAGAGATCTGAAAGTGAGAGTTGTCCAAAATTTTTATAGGGATACTTGGGAAAAACCGGTGTACTTACCTGTGGTACGGGTTCAAGCCCTTTGAAGCTAGATTTTTTTTTTAAAGTCTATATTTGGTATCCATTTGTGTTTTTCTACTTTTTTTTTTAACATAAGTAGAAGATATATAGATTAAAAGGCTATAGCCTTAATATTTACATCAAACATCCCATAATAATTACAATGAAAATTGATGTTGCAGCAAAATAAGCCTATGCAATAGGCCAAAAAAACAGCCGAAACTAGTCTCCTACAAGGAGATCTATGTGAGACCAAAAGCTTCCTGCATCCATAAAACATACCTAACAACTATATTGACATCCATAAGTCGAACCCAAAAGCTATAAACATCCATGACTAACAGTAAGAAAATCACAAAGTTACTGATTAGTTCCTGCTGCAGCAACTCGGATCTTCTCTTCTTCATACAACTTAGAGACACAATCTGGGTCCAAGTAATGAGTTTTGTACCCAACAGCCATCTCCCTTCCTAGAATAGCAAGACGGTGAGCTAATTCATTTGCTTCTCTTGGAATATGAGTAACCACTGCAACCCCAAATTTGGACAGGACCGTAGCAACATCACATATAGCTGCAGCTAACTCGTGGTGAGGATTAGGACCCGCTGTCATGAGCATATCTCTAAGCACCTTGGCATCAGTTTCCACAATCACTTTCTTAACCCTCAGATCCCCAGCAATAGAAAGTCCAGCATTCAATGCATATAACTCAGTGAGAAGGGGAGAAATAACATCATATTTACACGAGCAACCCACATACCACGAGCCATCTGATCTTCTGATTACACCCCCTCCAGAAGAGACTGCTGAATTGAGCCAAGCTCCATCAGTGTTAATCTTGAAATAACCTTCCCTAGGTGCTTCCCAAGCTGTAAAAGAGAATCTGAATCTTTGCCTTCCCTCTTGTTATTCACCTGTAACAAAGAAATAGAAATCTTATAATCGAAATAGAATTTGGCAAAAATAGAAATCGGACCAATTTGTTTCTCCTCAAAAATAGAAATAGTATTTGTGTTTTTCTACTAGTTGTAAAATGTTAAATCAACAATTAATATAACTTTTTTTGACACAATATTATAAATAATAGTAATATGGTCAAATGATTATTCCTAATAATATAACTTATATGCAATTGGTACCAAAAATTAAAGTGTTACAATAAAGTGCTACTTAATATCAAAGTGTTACAATAAAGTGGTACTTAATATCAAAGTGTTACATGATGTCAAAGTGTTACAAATGTGTTACTTATGAATTAGTTAAGGTTCTAACTAACCTTCAAAGTGATACCATTTGGTGTTACCTAAAGTCACTTTTGTAGTAGTGAATATTGTGATCACTTGAATTAATAACAAGATTAAAAAGGATCCTAAACCGGTTGTCCAAATTATCTTATCAGGCGTGATTTTCAATTACATATTCCCTTTAAACATGCAACATGGTGATCAATAAAAATAATAGAATAAACATTAATATTGGAAGCAATTTAACAATAAATCCACAATATAAAATCGTTAGAAAAATAATAGAAATAAAAGGAACATAATTCTTACTTTGATTCAGTTTGCTTGCAACTATAAAATAATAAACAACTTAGTAACTTCAAGGAAATAATAATAAACGATAATTAAATTAAATTAAATTAAATAGAGTTGATTTGGGGTCAAACCCTCAAACAGTTCTACCTTTCACGCCTTGGCTTAAGGACAGAACCACGAGTAAATTATGGACTCCTTGGACTACTTGAATAAGGAATTTTGAAAGAAGAAGGGTAGGCTAGTGTTTAGGCTAGAGCATAGAGGAGAGAAAAATAGAGAATTAATTGATGTCCCGTACATTAGAATTGAGGGGGTATTTGTAGAAAAAATATTCTGAGGGAACACACGAAACCCTAAAAAGATAAAAACCCTAAAAAATTACATCGCGACACGGCAGAGGGCACCATGACACGGCGCTTGGCAACGTCGGACGGGACAGTTCCCCGTGACACGGTGAACAGTTGTGTGACGCGGGAAATATTTAGGGTACGGGGAATAAAACACGTGAAGGGTTTACGCGGAAAGGACACGGAACTGCCCCGTGTCACGACAGGGGCACCGTGTCACGGGAAATCCCACTGTCAGACGGGGAACATTCCCTTGACACTGTGGAATTTTATCGTGACACGGGAGTCTGTAGTCCATTTTTCCGTCCAAATTCATTTTTAACCCTAATTTTGTTCAGCATTTTTAAGTGCCAGTTGATAATTTCGGGCCAATTCTGATATATTATTATTAGTTGGGCTAAAATAATAAATAAATAAATAAAATAAATATATAACAGGTTTGGGCCAAAATAAATAATAAAATAAAAAAGGTTGGGGTTGAAATAATAAAAGGTTTGGGCTGAAATAAAAAAAAAAGAACTATGCTTTGACTAAACATCAAGACTGATCCATGGACTATTCAAAAAAATTGAATTTAATTAAATACGATTTTTTAAGCACTCTCGGGATTAAATACTGAACCCGACCAATAGTGACGGTGAAAGGTTGTTCATCATCGGGTTTGGTTTTGGGGAGACATTTTTAGGTGTCTACATAAGCCCCCACTTTGACTGAGTTTGTAAAAACACCAGTTTCGAAAACAATAGTCAAAGTAGTCGATAGGGACGGAGAATGATTTAAGACGTTCTGTGATCCTAAATCACTCTGTATACGCCGATACTTGCAGAAAAATGTTAGTTCCACAGATAAAAGATTAAAGGGATAGAATGCTTATCTGACACCAGTGTATCGGTGACAAATGAGTTTGGTAGCTTCCTATGCTTGAAGGAATCCACCGGATGACGTTTGTTGAAATGCTTTCCATGCTTGAGGAAAGTCGACTGATGAGTTTGGTAGCTTTTTATGCTTGAAGAAATCTACCGGATGACATTTTCCATGCTTGAGGAAAGTCGACATATGAATTTGGCACTTTCTATGCTTGAAGAAACCCACCGATAATACTTTCCATGCTTGAGGAAAGTTGATAAATGATATAATCGCTGACTTCTTCGTGCTGAGAGGTGACAACGACCGACAATTTTCCATGCTTGAGGATAAAATTTGTCTACTGAAATTACAAGTCTCTGTGTATTGAGAACCTTACGCTGAAATGATAGTGGTTCGATTGTCCCTGAACGTGGGCCGTAGACGATTCATACCTTCAAGTTGACTATCCGACCATATTAGGTGTTTAAAATGTCGACAAATTGACTTTGATGCTTGCTAGGGGTAAAACGGTAATTTTGATACCCTTTAAATGTCGGTTAAAATTTTCCGCGTAATTTTAATGAGAAACCAACTGTCAAAAAGTTGCGAAAAATAATTTGAACTGGTCAAAAGATGGCAGGAATATTCGCTGACTGCATTAAAAAGCGTGCAGGACACACAACAAGGCCACCGTGTCACGTGGCATAATGCCGTGACACGGCAGCCAGTCCCGTCATGCGGCAGCTGAGCCCGTGACACGGGACACTGTTCCTTGCTGAACTGGTTAAAAACACGTATTTTGACTTGTAACAATTACCGCGCCATGTCAGAATAGAGTCGGTACTCAGCAACAGTCACCGTGACACGGGCAACGGGAAACGTGTCACGGTTTTACTTTTTTTCCTTTAAATTCGAGCTTTTGCTTTTGCTTTTGGTCATTTTAATTTTCTCACTTTTCTTCTGCTCTCTCTTTTCATCTTCTTTCTTCTTCTTTTAATTTTTGTCTTGCTCAGTCCACCGCACCACGGTTTTAGCCACAGTGACGTGGCACCTTCCTCCGTCAGACTCAGCGGTATACCGTGTCGCGGCGATCTGCTTCTGTTGCTGCTTCTCTTTTTTTTTTCTTTCTATTTTCCACGAAAGTGTTTACTGCTGTTGTAGACACCCATTTGTGTCTCCCCAAAACCAAACCCAGTGATGAATACCTTTCAAGTCATTTGATTATCGAACAAAGCGAAAGTGTGAAAAGTCTAGTGATGAGGATGTTTTTATTAAAATATCTCTTCTGTTTTTTTGAAAATATTTCTTTTCTTACCTTATCTATGAAAAACGTGCATTCTAGTTTAGTTTGGTCCATGATAAGGGTCCAATAATAGTGTATTTGGATGGGGTTTGAAAAGACCTTTCCAACGATATATTATAAGTCCAATTCCGATGAATAATGAGGAAGTTATGGCCAAAATACTAAACTGGGTCTGATTTGGTTTTTATATGCGGCCCAATGATCTAGAGGAGGGCCTATTATTAATTATCATTCCTAAAGCTATTAGGATTTATTATAGTCTTCTAGAATACTCTAGAAGGTTCTCTTAAATACTAATGGAGTTAGGATTGATAATTATGTTTTAAAGAGTTTGAAATTGAATAAAACTACTCCTTTTAAGAATCCTTGTTTTGTACGAAGTGGAATATATTCAGATTTTATTTTCGTGCCTCATAATCTTTATCCAAATTTTATATGGTTGGATAGATCTTGAAATTATATTTCCAATGAGATATTATAATATTAAATCCGAGTTATAACGACAAAGATATGAATTAGACATGAAACTCTATCCAAAACTGACACCGTTCCACTATTTCGGACATGTCTTTTTATCTACAAAATATTTTAATCTGATTCAATTGGGTTGGAAAGTAGACTTCAAGATCTTTCCAACGACATATTATATTCCTTATTTGGATTTTTGGATCAAAAGATATGATAAAAACAAAATCCGCAAAAACTGCTGTTAATCGAGTTCTATTTCGATTCGAATTCGGATTTCTTTTCTTATTCTTCGACTCTCTTTTTTCTCTATAAATAGAGGTCATATCTCCTTTTTTTCAATCATCAACTCTCATCAAGAATTTCTTGATTCCCTCTCTCTTTCTAAGCCTAGCTTTTTACAAGCGCAATTCCTTATACATTAGCACTAGACATACCTAGCCAAGTTCGAAGTTCCCTTCGCCCTAGACGTGAAAGGTTTTAATTTCTTAGGGTTTGGTCCCAAATCTCTCTTTCAATTATTTAATTTAATTGTTGTTTTATTATTTTCCTTGAAGTTACTAACATGTGTATTTTGTTATTAGAAAGAGATACGAGGCATCCAACTAAGTGCTTTAATGGTTTTATTGATATTATGATATAGAAATCATGTCTAGGTTGTTATTATGATTCCTAGAGTCATGTTAGGGTGTTTTGATCTTCATAGTATCATGTTTAGGGTAACTTTAATATCAAAT